GCCCCACGCCAGCCCCCCACCACTGCGCTGCCCGAGGCGGCATCCAGCCGGGACAGGAGCTTTGCTGAGCCTGTCTTAAATGGGTTGGTCCAGGAGCGAGGCAGGAGGCCCAAGAGCCATCATGGGTTATTTTCAGGGAAGACCCAGGAGTACCCATGCCGCAGTTTGGGAAGGCCATGCTCCCCCCTGGGATGGCACAGCAGGCACCAGGGATATGAAAACCCACGTCCTCACCTCGCCCAAGCAGACACAAACCCACCGCTGCCGCATCCCGGGGGGCTGAGGCCCTGGCTCGCCGTCCTGTTGGAGTCAGCGCATCCACCTTCCACCCGCTCTGCAGAGGATTCCTTGGATCTCCCCGTGGACAGGAGCCCGGCACGCAGCTCTGCCCGGGCTGAGCAGAGGACGAGGACCAGCAGGAAGGCACGCAGGAACACCCTCACCCATTTTGGAGGGGCATCCAAGGTGGCACAGCCACGCAGACAGCGACATGGAGCACCCAACGAAATGCACAAGAGGTCTTTGGTGCAGCCCGGACTGCCCAGTGGCAGAGCCAGAGCCCCTCTGCATTCGCTGTCTGTCCCCAGAGACACCCACAGAAACCAGTGTCCCCAGCCAGCACGGCTTCTTGCTGCCTCTCGGCTCCCACCCACAACCAACACTGACTGATCCTGTCAGCAGTTTCATAACAAACTTCTCCAAGGCTCTTGGTGTCCTGAGTTTGCCCCTACAGGTAGAACCAACAGCAGTTTTCACGTTGACACATCAGGTAAGGACAGTATGACAGCTTCTCCGCTAACACTTGGTGTTTTCAGATGTCCTGAAGGAATAGGAGCTCTGACCACGAGACTCCGCAGAAGCGCTGGACGGAGTGGCCGCAGCTCTCACTGACAGGGTCATCAATATTGCGGGGTGGAATGAGTTGAGAATAATCTAGATGTCAGGCTGATCTATGGATGTCTTGGGACATTTTGCAGAGCAGCCCGCAGTTTTCCAGTTCTAATTGCCCAAGCATATATGACACATGCACACATGGGCTCTATATTGAGCAGTACCCTATTGACGTGATGCAAAAGTAATCAAAAGCAAGGAAATAGCAATAAATCCTAGGAAGAATAAGTATTGAAATGAAGTAGTTTTGTTAGAAAATAGGAGACATGATTAGAGGCTGGGTTTCTTATGCTAGAAAGCCATGAGATAGCAAACCTTAAATAATTCAGTAGTTTAAGAGCGTATCAGCCATCCAATAACCTGGAGAAGGAAGAAAATGTTCCCTGCTCCACTTCATGTTACATTGACTGGCGGGCAAAAGGCAGGTGGGATGAAATACGTTGGGGGGGAGAGCCAAAGCTGTAAAAATAAATGAAATTGTCAGTGTACCATTTGCCTCAGCTCTTCACTTTATATAAATATCATTAATATTTGCATACTACTATCAGGTGCTGCTGGAGATGGCGTGGGTGTAGCTTTGAACTAAATAGGGGCCCAAAGAGGAACAAACTGCAGCCTTATAACCACGGCTGGAGCTCACACCGCATCCACTGGGGCTAAGCCTTCCTCTCTGCCGCCTTCCCATCTCTAGAAACCCACACCCAAAGGAAAACAACCCAAAAACGCTCCACAGCTCTTCTTACTCCCTAGACACATGAACTAACCTCCAGGGAAACAGCTCCCCATTCCACAGCCCAGTTCACACTTTGAGAGATGGTTTCCCCCCCTCCGTCTTATCACTACAAAAGCTGGGAAATTTGTTGGAAAGAAAATCTGAAATTTTGTCAGGGGTTTCTGTGGCAACGGGTGAGCCATCAGCTGACATTGTGGCTTCCGAGTACAGACAGCAATATCTCCACTGCACATCTGCAGTGCCTGGTCTTCAGCCAAGCCTCTAATTTCACTCAGATGACATTTCATTTCTGTAGGAAGCCACAAATGCTGTTGGGGGGCCGGTAGAGGTGTAGGGAGAACCCAGCTGGGGGTAGTAAACACCGTCCAAGCGGTGTGCAAGCATCCGGCGGCGCTGGCTGCCACTCAGGGTGGTTCCTAGCAAAGGTGGTGAGCCCACCTTGCAGCCTGAACCGACAGTGATAAAGAATCAGCAGCCCCTGCAGTGAGCAGCTTTGCTCTGAAACACAGCTGGGGTGACAAGAGATCATTAGCAAGAGCAATTATTTAACACCTCATGGAAAATCATATCCTTTTCTGCCTGTTTCAGATGATCTGCATGTGAATTTGGGGGCTTCCCAAACTGCTTCAGGGCTGACAAGCCCCATGCGTGCCACAAGTGGGGCCAGGCAAACCCTTCCACACCCCTTAGCATCATCTCATCCTATTTACTCCCTCCCTTCTGCTCTCAGGACTCCGCCAACACCTTTTAGCCCCCCTCGCTGGCTCCCACCCATCCCCAAACACTCCACTGAAGTCGAGTCACCCTTTGGCTCGTGAGCACCCATTAATCAAAGATCGCGCCGAAAAACCTGACCTGGGCAGCTGAACATCATCGATCCAGGCTCCACGCCATCAGCTCCTTTTGGCTGCTGCAAGCATGGTCAGCACAGCGTGCTTTTAAACAGCCCATCACTCAAACATCCCGCTGGCCTGATGCCTCTGCCAGCTCCAAATTTAGCAAGAACAGTGCCTGAGTTTGCCGGGTACAGCCTCTCCATGCACCGGGAGAGCCTTGGTGGCCGGACCAAGGCAGGAGGGTGAGCTCTGCCACCAAAGAGACACGGTAAGGAGAAGCTGTCTCACTGCAAGGGTGGCTTGGCCTCATGGCACCCCACCAGTCTCCTCTGCTTGGCTGTAGGAGCTGTTTTCACAGCCCTGGGGGACAAAGAACAATTTGGCCATATCTGCCCCACTTGGGATCCCCTGCCTCTGTTTCTGGAGCTAAACCATGCATCCTCCACATTTTTTTTTTTTTTGCTGCTTCACCCCATTATTGCCATTTTAAATCAAAATAAATCTTATCATTCCCCAGCTGAGACCCCCCTTTCCTCACTGCGCTCACTAAACACTCTTTACATCCAAAACAGCATTATTGATCAGCGGTCAGAGGCTCCTGGCTGTCAGCCAGGAGTTTTGGGGTTGTTTTTTTCCATTTCTGTCCATCTCAAGCAGCGCTGGTCGCACCCTTCAGCAGCTGCTCCCCCGTGTCGGGCTGCACATGACCCCATCCCTTCAGAACATTTCCCCCCCCATATCTGTCAGGTTCTCAATGTATAAATAATTAGCTCTCAATTTTCCCCTTTTTCAGTCCTTTCAGCCATCTGAACTCTTGCTGCCATCTTCCTGCAGATGAAGGGGGGGGGGGAAGGGAGTTTTTTTGAAATATACATTTTTATTCTTAGCATTCTACTGTTCTTTCCCCAGGTTGTTTTTTTCCAGCGGAACTTGGCATTAAAATTGCTATCACATGTTTTTAAGTCAAATTCTCACATCCTTCTGTTACCATACCTGGCAGATTGGCCAAAACCATTTTTTTTCCCCCTCCGGTATTAGGAATTACACTTCCTGAGGAGCTGTTGTTTCATGCTATTCCCATGGGACAAGCAGTTACGCGGGGTCAGGCTGACGTGGACCACGCTCAGGGATGCGGCTGGCAGACGAGTGCCAGGGGCCAGCTGCAGAGACGGGATTTGTTCCAGCTCATAGACAGCCCCAAGGAGCAGCTGCGGTGCCTCTGCCACTTCATAGAAGAGTTTTCTGAGTTTTTCGTGCCTTAAATTTCAGAAAGAAACCATCTGCAGCAGCTGGGCAAGCCGTGCTGGTGGAGAGCTGAGGAGCAGGAGCACGTGGGCAAGTAGCGGCATCACCACGGTGGCCAAAACTCCTTCCCAGGGACGGGCTGAACCACAGGGGTGGGAGGAAAACTGCATCTGAGTCGCATGCTCGGCTGCGACCCCGCTCTGGCTGCGCACCTCCAGCAACAGCTCTGCCACGGTCACATCACAAATAAACTGCTCTTCGTCCCCCTCTCCCATCACCTGGTTTCCCGTGTGTTAGGAGAGCAGCAATGTTTGATTTTGCCCTCGAAGATGCAGCAAGGCAGGCAGCCAGGCTTTTCGGAGTCTGGGCTTTGTCCCCAAGCCAGCACCACAGGCACGAGGCTGCCCAGCTCTCCCGGGTCAGGCTGCATGCCCGTTCTCACTGGGGTGCTCAAACAGCCCCTACCCCTGCTTTGTTCAAAATCGCACTGTCACCTGCCTAGAAATGCACATGTCTAAAACCAAAAAAGAGCTTTTTCTAGTTAAAAAAAAGCTCCTGGCAGCCGGAGTGCAGCCCCCCCAGCAGCACTGCCCCAGGGGCTGGGGGCAGCCAGGAGCTCCCAGCGCAGTCAAACCTCCCTCCAGCAGCACCCGAGTCCCCCTCGCTTCCCAGCACTCTTCTGTGAAATGGCCTGCAAAGCAAACCAAAAGAGCTTTGGGATTTTCCTGCTCTTTTTCTGCTGTCATCTTACCTGGTGATTCCTGCACTGCAAATTCGGTCCTCCACCCCAGGGCTGCGGCTCTTGGCAGGGCCACAACATAATCTGCTGTTGAAAATGTGATCAGGTGAGAAAGGAAGATAGTTTTACTCTCATTTCTTTATTTTTTTAAAATCAGGAATAAATAAAAAAATTGATATGATCAGGCATTCTTGAGACTACTTAAGCACAAAATAAGAAAACGGTCATCTGTCAGAGGAGGGCAACAAGGATGATGAGGGGACTGGAGCATCTCCCCTAGGAGGAAAGGCTGAGGGAGCTGGGCTTGTTCAGCCTGGAGAAGAGAAGGCTGAGAGGGGATCTCATCAACACCTACAAATATCTCAAGGGTGGGGGTCACAGGGATGGAGCCAGACTCTTCCCAGTGGTGCCCAGCGCCAGGACAAGGGGCCATGGGCACAACCTGAAGCACAAGAAGTTCCAGCTGACTGTGAAGAACTTCTTGACTTGACTTGGAGGTGGCCCGAGCCCTGGCCCAGGCTGCCCAGGGGGGCTGTGGAGTCTCCTTCTCTGGAGATATTCAAAGCCCACCTGGACGCTGTCCTGTGCCCCCTGCTCTGGGGGAGCCTGCTTGAGCAGGGGGGTTGGACCAGATGATCTCCTGAGGTCCCCTCCAACCCCTGCCATTCTGGGATTCTGTGCCCTCCCTGTTGGGAAAAAGGGGTAAAAAGGCCTTGAGCTTCTTCTGCATCCCA